AACACTGACAAATCTTAATGACTGTGTGGAGTGGTTTTGCCAGTGAACAAAGTTAAGAATAAATGTACAAATGTGACGTTGGGATGTAATAAGAAATATGTGGTCTCTGTCCAAGTTTCTAAAACACTTGGAATTTTCTTAATGGCAGAAATGAGAGGAGCATCTTTTGTTATGCTAGGCTCCTCTCAACCATAGCTCAGTTTATGCTATTAGGGTGAGTTCTGGTCTATCCTGAGAGTTTCAGGATGATGGGGGAAGGGTGCTGCAGTAGGGGGGCTGGCAACCTGAGGAAGCAACCACGGGAATGAAGCTTTGGAACTTTCAGCCCTACTCCTGATTTCTGGAACTGGACTTAATCATCAGCAGCCAGTATCAATCATGCCTTTGTAGTAAGGCCTCCATGAAAACTCCTATACTGGGCTGGAAATGTGGCTCAGTGGTAGAGTGCTTTCACTAGCACACCTGAAGCCCTGGGTTCAATTCCTCAGTACCACATAAACAGAAAAAGCTGCAACTAGTGCTGTGGCTCAGGTGGGAGAGTGCTGGCCTTGAGCAAAAGAAGCTCAGGGACAGTGCCCAGAACCTGAGTTCAAAGCCCAGGACTGGCAAAAAAACAAACAAACAAAACCAACCTATATAACGGGATTTGAGTAGCTTTTGGGTTGATAAACAATCAAGCTGGTGGGGTACTAGTGCATGTAGAGGGGGCAGGGAAAACTGAAACACTTTCTGCACATTGTTCTATGCATCTCTTCCATTTGGCCATTCCTGAGTTGTGTCCTTTATAAGAAACTGGTAGCAGTAAGGAACAGGCTTTCCTGAGTTCTGTGAGCTGTTCTAGCAAATGATCAAATCTGAAGAGGGGGTTATGGGAACCTCTATTTACAATAGAAGGCTCAGAGGCCTTTAATCTCTGGGTTCTGCACTAACCCTGAGTTGCTTGAGTCCAAATAAAATAGAACCATTCAGTATGTAGTTGGGTGTCCTGAGGCATGGAAAATTTTTTTCCCCCTAACTTGAAGAAAAATCAATCTGTAAGTTTTTTTGTCAAATATTATCCATGAATGTTCAAATAAATGAAGATTAGTGTGATACCATGGACAGAAAGGGAGTGAAACAATAACAAAACTCTCATTTCTATTCTTCCACTGATTGAGACTTTCTGACATACATTTGCTCATTTCTTTCTTTCTCATCCTCTATTCCCCCCATCCTTAATAAAATATCATAAATTTAGTCATTGATAAAAGGTTTTCACATAAAAATCTGCTAATACTGATTTCTAAGGAAAAATTCCAGTACATTTTGCTTTGGACATGTTTTCACCTGGGCAGTTGCTGCACTTTGCTTAGAGTAGTGAGGCACTTTGTATATGCATGTGATAACAGTGGCACACATTTCTCAGTTTTGATATGGTGCAAAGATCATGTTATCAGGTCAATACAAATTTACAACATAATAGAGAAGTGTAGGTTTGGGAATTTTGTTTTTGGCTTGAATAACAGAAGTTTATTTTTTCACAGTTACGGAGCCTGGAACTCTGAGATCAAGTGTGAACAATGTTTTGTTTTTTTTTCTAAAACCCTTTTCCAGCCAGGCACCAGTGGCTCACACCTGTAATCCTAGCTACTCAGGTGGCTGAGATCTAAGGATCACAGTTCAAAGTCAGCCTGGGCAGAAAAGTCCTTGTGAGACTGTTATCTCCCATTAACTAGAATTGACACTGTGGCTCAAGTGGTAGAGTGCTAGCCTCAAGCACAAAGAGTCTCAGGGACAGTGCCCAGGCCCTGAGTTCAAACCCTACAACAACAACAAAATATATATATATATATATATTTTAAACATGTTTTTCCTTAGCTTATAGATGATTGTCTTCCCACATTATGCACATATCTATGGCTAAATTTCTTGTTAGCATTTTTTATTAGCTTAGTTATACAGAGGAGGATTTCATTGCTATATTTTCACACATTGACAATATGTAACAATCTGATCTCACCCCTTTACTCATTCTCCCTTTCCCCTTCAAAAAGATTAATAGAGTATTTTTCCTAATTCCTTGAAATTAATTCTCCAGAAAATTTATCCCAATTTTTTTCTGTTTCTTAGGCAGTATAAACAGCTTGGACTTCTCTCTGCTTATAATCAGCACTCAGGAAGCTGAAGCAGTAGGATTGTTGAATTCAAGGCCAGCCTAGACTATATATAGTAAAACCCTGTCTGAAAAACCCAAACCAATAAGAACAAAAAGTAAACTATCCTGCCTGCACATTTATGTTAGCTGAGAAAGCTCCAGCCTTTCTTGACACTAGATAGCTTTAGAACATAGAATGTACCCCTCACAAACTCACTTTCACCATGAACCTTTCTTGTTTTTCTTTTATAGCTGTTTTTTTAAAAGCACTTTGAGTCACAAATATTTAATAAGTAGACGGACCAATTTCTTTATCCACTCCCTGTTTTTTATGGAGAGGATGAGGTAAGTCTCTGCCTCACTAAACTGAGTACTTTGAGAAACAGTAAGTCTTCTTAATGTTGAGGGAGGTACCTGTCGGGAAGAGTCTACTAGCAGGTATTGAACAGGAAACTTGTCCTGCCCAAACTTCTGCTTTATTTCAAAAATCATCATTAAAAAACAAATGTTCAGGGCTGGGAAGATGGCTCAGTGGTAGAGCGCTTGCCTTGCATGCATGAGGCCCTGGGTTCGATTCCTCAGCACCACATAAACAAAAAGAAAAAAAAAAAAGCTGGAAGTGGCGCTGTGGCTCATGTGGTAGAATGCTAGCCTTGAGCTGAAGAGCTAAGGGACAGCGCCCAGGCCCAGAGTTTAGGCCCATGACCGGACCCCCCCAAAAAAACCAAAAAAACAAATGTTCCATGTGAATGCACCACCTGGGAACTCATTTTTCATTATTTAACAGGGAGAACCATAACTTGCACATGTAAACCCCAAATGCTTGACTAGTTACCTAAAACACACCTGCTATACAGAAGACTCCCCTTAATTATCGGCTGGGAATTTGGGGGAGCTAAGTTTTTGTTTTTGTTTATGCGTGTTCATTGAATTTACCACCTTGGGAAAACTACCTTCCAGGAGCGCCCAAGGCCTTCACTCGGGGTAATCCCTAGCATCTGTCTTGGCACAGTCATTCCTCTGGAGACCTGTCCTGGCTTCCTTTCTAACCCCTCTTCTGCATTTTCCTCCTCATTTCTCTTCCTTCCAGGGCATACATTGGCACAGTGCTCCTGATTTGTTCCCTTCTCAGTCTTTGGGCAGCACTGATCACAGCTAGGCCTTTCTTCTCAAGTTTTAACTCTGGTGACACAGCTTCCTGAGTATTGGTGTCTCTGGGCTGGGCATTCTTCATGAAGCTTCCTGCTGACCTCTCCCTACTCAGAATTGCAGAATTCTTATCCATTGTCATTGTCTTCCAAATCTGGTCTTTTCTACCTATTTGTATCTTGAGTAGATGGCCTGACTTGTCGCTCAGGGGTGTGGGCACTTTGCAGTTCTTTGATGGTTGTGGGAAATGGAGAGATGGACTCTGGTAGGGGTCAAGTTGAAGCTCAGAATGAGAATGTGAGATGAGAGGAGTTGCAGAGGTAGGTTGTGTTCACTCTATCATCCCCTTGTCTGCTACTCCACAGTCTGTCAACTGTCAGCTTTTTTCACAGCTCTTAGTACAGAGTCAATCTAGGATAGGTCTACATGAGGAGAATGGAAGATGCTGATGGAAATAGCTCTCTTCTTCCCTGCCATAGTTCTGGTCCCTGGGCTTCACACTACCTCTGCAGAGAACTGGCAAAGAATTAGGGGAAGAGATAGGCAGAGAAGGAATCAGAGGATGGGGAGCCTCTGCTCACTTTGGCTTTCCTTACTAATAGCTGTAAGCATCTGCAGTAGACTTTCAGGGTACCTGCCTGTGTGGAACATAGTGGGCAAGGCTGGTTCTGTGGTATCCCATAGGGCAACATACATTCCCTGGTGCCCCTCATTCCAGGAGAGGAAGTACAATCCAAATTATTTGACACAGGAGGGATCCTCCAATAGAAATAAAACTACATGAAATTGAGGGTTCTCCAGAGCATCCTCCTTCCTTCCTCCCTCCCTCCCTCCTTCCCCTCCCCCCCTCCCCCTCCCCCTCCCCCTCCCCCTCCCCCTCCCCCTCCTCCTCCTCCTCCTCCTCCTGCTCCTCCTCCTCCTGCTCCTGCTCCTCCTCCTCCTCCTCCTCCTCCTCCTCCTCCTCCTCCTCCTCCTCCTCCTCCTCCTCCTCCTCCTCCTCCTCCTTCTTCCTTCTTCCTTCTTCCTTCTTCCTTCTTCCCTCTCCTCCCCCATCCCCCTCCTCCCCTCTCTTCCCCCCTCCTTCCTCCTCCTCCTCCTTCTTCTTCTCCTCTCTACCACTTGAGCCACCTTCTTAATCCCCAGAGCATTATTCTCAAGGTCTGCTCTTCAACTAGGCTATAATATAACCACCATACATGAAATAAGAAATATTTTTGAACTTTCAAACAATAACTGTCTACAGTTATTGCATGTTTACAGTACGATAGCACTGTTCTAGTCTCTGTATGTGTACTAAATCCTTCTAATCACAATATTGAGGGGCCCATTTCACAGATGGGTAAATTTAGCTTGACTTTCCAGGGTTATACAGTTAGATAATAGTTCACAGCTCTAGGATTCAACCCAGATCTGGTTCTACCTTAAACTATTTCTTAACTTAGGGATTGCATTCACTGAGACATCACAGGGAATTTTTCCAAGTTAAAAAAAAAAAAAATCAGTTTTCTTCTTTCTGAGCATTTATCTAATGACTGGAAGCATAGTTACATTACTTTGTAAATGGATATGCAGTAAATACTTATGGATACTACAAATATTAACTGCTGTCAACACCAAGATGAGAGACTTCCAAACTGGATCGGTAATTGCATTTGAACATTGTCATCTCCCTTTTTCCCTGGAATTTGTTTAACATTTTGTTTGTTTCTTGCTGAAGGAGGAAGATTTCACTCCCTTTGTCAGCTATAATCACTCTGTGGCTTCGGCACCTTCCCAGTCTTGAAAAAGCAATGCTACGTCTTTTTGAAAAGCTACTCTCCAGTGAGAGAAATTGTCTGAGGAAGATGGAATGCTTTATAAAAGACTCATGGCTGGTACGTACTGGGATTTGGTGACGGGAAAAATCCTTAAAGGAATTGCTAGGAATCATTTATTTTAAAGAAGAAAAAGGGAGAAGGGGGAGTAATAGGAAAAAGGATGTCAGAACTTTAAGAATCATAAATTTATATTTTCTAATAGAGCTTTTTTTTTGGGGGGGGGGGTCCGGTCGTGGGGCCTGAACTCTGGGTCTGGACACTGTCCCTCAGCTCTTCAGCTCAAGGCTAGCACTCTACCACTTGAGCCACAGCACCACTTCCAGCTTTTTTTTCCTTTTTGCTTATGTGGTGCTGAGGAATCGAACCCAGGGCCTCAGGCTTGCAAGGCAAGCGCTCTACCACTGAGCCACCTTCCCAGCCCTCTAATAGGGCTTTTTGACAGACTTGGTGAGTTTGAGGAAAGGGCTGAGATTTACTTGTATCTAGTGCCTTGTATTACAAATACACAAGAATGAATATCTGGACAAAAAAACATTTGAGGGTAGGGTAATGGGGTTCCCCTAAGGAATGCTTTGTTGATATATCATTGTTATTTAAGAAGACACATGGGCTGTATTCCTGCCCCCTACCTTCTTCAATCTCATTGACAGATATTAGCCCACTGCCCCACCAAGGGTGAGGTGCTACATACCTATAGTCCCATCTGGTGCACACCTGTAGTGCATCTAAAGAGGCCAAGGACACAACAAATTTGGTTAAATTAATGTTTATTTTGACTTGAAGATTATGTTTTAAAAAATAAAGATCTGTGGACAAGGGGAAAAAGGAATAAGTAAACAAAAACATTAAGAAAATAAACTTTTTAATTCTTCACTAGAGAAAATTTAAGAAAAACAAAAGAGAACCCAAGGAAAATAGTTAAGTAATTAAAAGATCTAAGTGTTCTGTATATTTTTCCATCCTTGAACCTCCATTATGCAGTTAACTTCTATTTGTATAAGAACAAAAATGACAACCAATGTACCCCTCCCCCCAATTTTTTTGGGGGGGGTTGTGGGGTCTGAACTCGGCTGGGTGCTGTCCCTCAGCTCTTCAGCTCAAGGCTAGCGCTCTACCACTTGAGCCACAGAGCCACTTGTGGCTTTTTCTGCTTAGGTAGTGCTGAGGAATCAAACCAGGGCCTCATGCATGCAAGGCAAGCACTCTATCACTGAGCCACTTTCCAGCCCCCCTCCCCCAATTTTTTTAAACAACAGTTCACAGTGAACCAACAGTGAACCAGACCCTATTTCCAAATATCTGCTAGTAATTTCACCTGAAGAGTTAATGTTTTCTTAAAGAATCCTTTTTTAAAATCAAATAACAAGCAAATGAGTCAAAGATAGTCTGTCGAAAGAGCTAATTTCTTGAAAGACACACAAAAACAGAGTATATAAAAGGAAATACAGGCCAAGGAAGCTGAGCCTGATGTTACACACCTGTTGTCACAGATAGGAGGATGAGGCAGGAGGCATCAAATGTGCGCCCATAGCAGAAATTTTCCAAATGGTCCATAAGAACAACCCCTTCAAGGAAATGCTCAGATGGGTCTGAATTGCCAGCAAGTTGTCAGCAATGAGGTGAAGGACTTGTTTGTTTGCTTGCATGGGGCCTCCAGTTGCATTTTTTCACAGTGCATACTCTTAGATCAGAGCCACAAGTAAAATGTGTCTAAAATTGCAGTATGAAAGAACCAATCATTTATACTCATAGAGGGGCTTCTATCTTAGTCTCTAGGTGTCCATCTTTGGAGGGAGAGGATCAGACATCACCTGTGTATTTGCAGTGTCCACAGTTGTTAACTTGGCTCCCAATTAGTCACTTACGAAAGTGACTGTCAGCCCTCCACTTGGTTCAGTTACTTGTGTTACAGGAGAAAACCTGAATTGGAGCTGGTACTATGCTAACTGCTATGACTGTCAGCGCATAATCATACTAATCATAATTAAAATACCAATTTTCTTAGATTTACAAGAATCACAGCACATCCAGACAGACATGGTAACAGTACAGGTGTGATGGTGTCTGCCATCTGTGAACCTCTTTGGACTCCCCCATGTTTTATTTCCCATTTTCCTCTATCATGTAGGAGATGGGGCATGGAATTATCTTTCAGTGAGTTCCAAGAGCAGTGCTTACAGGCTCAATCTTAAGTTGGTAGCCATGAAACTGGGATTGGGTGCCCGCCCTGGCTGAGACTGAGGCTGGAAGGCACTGAGGTTGCTGGGCCATCCTGTTCATCCAGTTCACCTCTGTACACCTTAGACTATGTGTTTAATTCTGGTGAAACTTCATGTTTTCTTCTTTTCCTTTCAAGCTGGAAACTGTATAAGAGAATCCTAATGGCCCAAAATGCCTCTTTCTCTGTGGGTCTCTCCTGACCAGGCCCTGTAGTCCATTTCTTCCTCTGTGGTTCCATTTGGCCTCTCTTTCTGCCTTCCCAGTATATGTGGTGGTACTCGGGGAAGCCTGAGTTAACCATATTGCTTACACTTGCAAGCCAGTTGTTTCAGACTGACTCAACCTAACTTGAAAGGTTACTATGTCTGGCAAAAAAAGGAAGGAAGGAAGGAAGGAAGGAAGGAAGGAAGGAAGGAAGGAAGGAAGGAAGGAAGGAAGGAAGGAAGGAAGGAAAAAGAAAAATATATGTTAAAATTGAGAGAGCCCACGAGGGTATTTTTTTTCTGGATAATCACTACTTTACCTCACCATTTCCAAAAGAATGAAGCAAGAAATAACCTTGGACCTTATGTTAAAATAATGACAGCACAATTAAAAATGAAGAAAATCCAGCCGGGTTCCAGTGGCTCATACCTGTAATTCTAGCTACTCAGGAGTCTGAGATTTGAGAATCATGATTTAAAGCCAGCCTGGGCAGAAAAGTCTGTGGAACTCATATCTCCAATTAACCAGCAAAAAGCCAAAAATGGAGATGCAGCTCAAGTAGTGCAGAACCAGCCTTGAACAACAACAACAAACAAAAAACCCCAAATAACTAAGGGTCAGAACCCAGGTCCTGAGTCCAAGTCCCAGTACTAGCACAAAAGAAAGAACAAAATATTTGGGAAGCCCTCTGACAGCTCATTCCAGGTGACTTAAGATAGTAAATTACCTTAACTGCCTGCTAAAGTTCTTTATTTCTAAATTAACTATGCTTGATACAATTTTTTAAGTGACAAAATGCAGAAACTAAGCTATTTGCTTCTAGGTGCATAAATTTTTCCTTAAATCTTCTCTCAGTAGAAAATTTGTGTCTGATTTGTGAACCTTCATTCATCCTTGTGGTTCTTCTTTGAAGAAGAATCTTGGGCTTTTACCTGGGGTCCTGGGGCTGGAGTGATTTTTTTAGCAAGCATAGCAGGAAAGGGAAAGAGAAAGAGAGGCAGGGAGAGAGAAAGAGAGGGAGAGAAGGAGAGAGGTAGTAGAGAGAGAGAGTCCTCTCCTCGCATGGCTTTGTATAATCTTCAGTCTCAATTGGCTATAACCTGCCCCTTCAAACAGCCCCAATGTCAGTTGATTTCCCACAGAATTTATCAGATCATGGGTGTAGTGATTCATAGCTTTTGTTATGGCTAAAAGGGGATTCTAGAGGGTGTTATTTGGTTTAATTTATTGTGGCATGGGCAGGATGTGACCTCTCTGTGCCTCATGGTTCAAGTTGGTAATTACAATACAAACGATGAGCTGGAAGCCCCTGATTGGCGTGGGCTGCTCTCCTAGGGCATCCTGGGCCTGGAGTGCTAGAAAGCCAAAGATCCTGTAATAAGCCTGTGACCTAGCTGAGTGATTACAGGGGTAACCTGAAGAACTTGCTTCCTAATTGCATCATCTGATTCATTTATCGCAACACAGTATCTCGGTGCAGTGACAGGACTATGCACAAGTATCAGATCTGTATGACCCAGCACGAGACTGCTGCACTTTGCTCCAAAGGAAACCTGATGCCTATTACATTAGAGCTGGATTCTGAGAGTAATTAAAGTGTGATGGTCTACGTAACTTGTGTTTTATATGGAACACTGTTAATTATATTTCCATCTCTTGGGACTATTCAGAATGAGTCCTGGAAATTCTGTACTTACCGTATATGCATACATACATATGAAACATAAATTCATAAAGCTGTATATATATGTTTGACTTTAAAATCAAAATATGTTTTCAAACCTGTTTAGTTTTAAGGTTCACCTTCTGGCAGCCGTTGGTACATGGTTGTCTGCCAGAGTTGGTGGCCCCCAAATAAATCGAGGTAGCTGCCCCAGTCTGTCACTTACTGTGCAGACTGAAACTTTCAAAAGCAGATGGTCTTGTGTTTTCCTTGACAGCACAGACACCGGGAGACCTTAATCCGTAGCCTCAGAGCTGACCTTAGAAACTGATGTCACAAAAAACAGTGAAAGCCATTTGCTAATTATGCAGCTTTCTTGGCACTGTTTCGTTTCCCAAGGCTGGCCCTGAATCAAGGATGTTATGTTTTCCCGTTACAGTTCTGTTTATGGAGTCCAAAAAGCTATTGTTTGGAGTCCACATTTGAATGAGAAGGCTGGCTGGGTGGCAGGATGGCCCTGTGCTTGGCTGCTGAGCTGTGCTGCATGCCAGGGCCTGGGGCACCTTGGTTCCCATGCCCTTGGTGCACTTGTTCATGTCTCATGCGCCTGCTGCAGCCACCCCAGTGGATCTAGGGGATCTGCTCGCCCCTCTTCCCCCATAGATCCACCCCAAGGAGGAGCAGGGCCAAACGGGAGCAGGGCCAGGAGGCAGAGTGAGTTTTGTTTTTTATTTAGATCTTAAATCAGAGAAAATTCCTAATTAGCTCTTCTTCCTAGAAGTCTTCATGACTTGAAAAATAGTATTTCTGTGTCTAGTAAGGACTTAAGAATAAAAAGTCCCCAGACCCTTCAGTGTCCTCTATAGGAAAAGGATTGCTTTTTCTTTATTTTCCACATAGCAGTCACACCCTTGTCAAAGGAAAAATGAACTTTTCTTCCAAAAAGTTCAAATGCACAATTTCTTGTTAG